TTGTAACATTAATTATTTCCCAAACCATATAGCTTTATTATATAAAGGATTATTATACTAATAAGAGGGAAATTTATATCCTTCACCAGGGCGCGCATTGCATTATGCTCCTTGATGCAAAACGACATCGTTTCAGATTTTTTTTTTTTTTGAAATTTCACTACTCATTATTGACGGTTAATTTTCTTTAAAAAAATCTCATGTTCAAAAATGTACACAATTTTATACTAGAATACACATAATTGTATACATGATTGTACATAATTGTATAACAAAATACACATACTTTTTTTAAAAGATAATACATATAATCTAACATAATACATAATATACATAAACTTTTAACACAATAAACATCAACTCTTAACATAGTACACATAAATTTCCTGTTTCGGATATACATAATTGTATAAAAAAAGATGTACATGATTGTATAAAAAATGTACATAATTGTATAAAAAAAAATACACACAATTGTATAAAAAATACACATAATTGTATAAACAAATACACATAATCACGTCAACTCCCTACATAACTTACCAAAACGACGTCGTTTTGGGAGGTGCGGGGTGCACAGTGCTGTGCGCGCCGTGGTGCAGGGTATAACGACGGTAATAAGAGCCAAAAAGAGTTGGGCCTATAAAAGGTAGAAAAAATGACGGTCAAATTTTTTAATCAATGGCTCAGATTGATCATATTTTAATTTTTCATTGAGATTTCATAATTTATCCTTAATTATATGATTATTGGTTAAAGTTTCAATTAAATATTATCTTTTTCATTAATTTCTGTTAGTTCACCGTTAACTTAATCATTGATTTCAATAAGAAAGGTCTTAGGTTCGAACCTCATTCCAATCAAAGTTGAAATAATTAATACTCTAATTTACTCTTATTAAATTATAAAAATAATAATTTAGTAGCTACAACAAAAAATAATACATATGCATTTCTTTAATTTATAATTATGTGTCTACAATGCCTTTGTTCAAAAAAAATTATTCATTATCAATAAATTAAATAAGAAAATTAATTTCATTAGTTATATAATATAACTAATGAAATTATAATCATTTGATGAATTTGAAGGTAAAGAATGTTTACATTGGAGAAAAATAAAGACAATTTAACTAATGAAATTATTTCTCTTAATTAATTTATTGATAGTGAATAATTTTTATTTATTTTGTTGAATAAAGACATTGTAGGGACAATCAGCAGTTAGCGGTTAGCGATAGCAAATTATACTAGGGGATTCGACTAGCGAATTATATCGACGGTGGGTAAAAAGATATTTGAAAAAATTAGCTGTTTAGATTAAGATGTAAAATGACCTAAGGATATACATGATAATAATAATAATAATAATAATAATAATAATAATAATAATAATAATAATAATAATAATAATAATAATAATAATAATAATAATAATAATAATAATATTAATAATAATTAATAATAATAATAATTATTATTATTAATTATTATTATTATTAATTATTATTATTATTATTGTTGTTGTTGTTGTTGTTGTTGTTGTTGTTGTTGTTTTATAATAATAATAATAATAATAATAATAATAATAATAATAATAATAATAATAATTTAATAAAAAATTTTTAAAAATAAATAAAACATATGGGGAGTCGAACGATCGGTTCCAATTTAGTTTTGTCAATTTTCCCCCATCATTGGAAAAAGTGGCATGGGAGCCTTGAGGCTCCTATAAAAGGAGTCTTAACGCTCCAATTTAAAAATATAGCTTGCCCATCAGTTGATGGGCAAGCAATGAGCCAGTGAAACTGGCTCTTATTATTCAAGGAATCGAAATGGCTCTACAGTAAATTTATTATTATTATTATTATTATTAAATTATTAAATATAGAGGTGTTTTGGAGAAATTATTCTCAAAAACGCTAAGTGAAGATATTGTACATTACAATGTTTGTATTTTCAGTGGTTTGAAACAAATTGTTGTTTCAAACTGTTGAATAACCAAACACTTTCTTTAGCATTTTGATCTTTGGGTTACATCATATTTACCAATCGTCCAATATCTTTGCGCCATACATCACAACAGAATTAATTTCTGTTGCCGATTCCATCGCCATAACGCGACAGACATATAGGTCGTCGCATTTTCTGTTGCCAATGTGTTAACATATTGGCGACGGAATTGATTTCGTCGTCCCATTCTGTAGCAAAAATAAACTTTACTTCAAAATTTATATATTTTCGCGATTAAAAAAATTCCAGTCGCAAATTCCGTCGTCAGCCTCCGTCATCAATCCCTTGTTGCGGGAATATTTTCCACATTGCGCCAATTCTCGCAACAGAATTTATTCTCTTCGCCGATTCTGTAGCAAAACCACGACGGAATCATCGGCCGTTGCCTTTTCCGTCGCTATTGTGGTGACAAAACTTAATTCCGTCGCCAAAATGTGGGCCCCAAAATTTCCCGGGTTTTTTCTCACTTTGCGCCAAAAATCGCTACGGAACTGCATTCTGTCACTATTTCCGACGCAAGATCGCGACGGAACACGTTCCGTCGCCAAAACTGTCACGAATTGACAACGGATTACGTTCCGTCGCGATTTTTCCGTCGCTATTCATGATTTTTCTTGTAGTGTCCATTTGGTGTAAATGCCACTCTTTTGCTGCTGCTACAGCCAATAGGGTCCTAATGGTGGTCATCTTGGCCACTGGACTGAAAGTTTCTAGGTAGTCAATCCCAGGAGTTTGTGTGTAACCCTTTGCCACTAGCCTTGCCTTGTACCTCAAAACAGTGCCATCTGCTTTGTATTTGATTTTGTAAACCCATTTACACCCAATAGGCTTCTTAGCTGGTGGCAAATCAACCATTTCCCAGGTATTGTTACTTTTCAAGGCAGCAATTTCATTCTCCATTGCCTTCCTCCAACATTCATGTTTCACAGCTTCCTTGTAGCTTTTTGGCTCATTCTGGCAATCAATATTCATCACAAATGAATGAAAGGAGGTTGAGAGTTTAGTGTAATTGACTACCTTAGAGATATCATGAGGAGATGATCTAGCTATGGAACTGTGACATATATAATTTTCCAAGTAAGTTGGGAGGTTCCTTTGCCTAGTGGACCTCCTGATAGCTGGTTGTGGGGATTGTACTGAGGGAATGCTGACTGTCTGATCAGATTCTTCTTCTGTTTTTTCAGTTGCCTCTTGAACAGGAGGACTATGGAATGATGATGTTGAATCCTCAGGAACAGAAGAGCCATGACTTCTGTAAATGTGAGGAGAACCTTGTGAGTCATCAGATACCCCTGCTGATACATCATTAGGTAAAACAACTTGAGAAAATTCCTTTTCTGGATTGGTACCATGCTGAAAAGGAAATGAGTTCTCATAGAATACTACATCTCTTGATAGGAAGATTAATCTCGAATGTAAATCATACAGCTTATATCCCTTAGTACTATTAGCATATCCCACAAAAATGCACTTCTTGGCTCTAGCATCAAATTTTGCCATTGGTCCTACTGTGGCAGCAAAGGCCAAGCATCCAAACACTTTCAAGTGTTGATATTGAGGAACCTTGATGAGTAGAACCTGATAAGGGATTTTATTACCAATAGAAGTAGATGGCAACCTATTTATGATGTAGGCTGCATGTAATATACATTCTCCCCAAAAAAATTCTGGCAGATTAGCTTGGAACCTCAGTGCCCTAGCAATGGATAGAAGGTGTCCATGTTTCCTTTCAACCCTACTGTTTTGCTGAGGGGTGTGGGTGCAAGATAATTGATGCATTATCCCTTTATGAACAAAAACATCTGACATGTCAAATTCAAGCCCATTATCTGATCTTATACTCTTGACACATGAACCAAATTGAACTTCCACCATTTTACAGAACCCCACAATTAGGCTTCTAACCTCAGACTTCTTCTTCATCAAATGTATCCATACTGCCCTACTGTGGTCATCAACTATTGTAAGAAAGTAATGATGTCCATAGATGGTAGCAGTTTTATAAGGCCCCCAAATGTCCATGTGTAAGAGATCAAAGCAAGCATCAGAAATGGAGTTACTAGAATAGAATGGAAGTCTTTTCTGTTTGGCAAAATGACAGCAATCACAAACTAAACTCTTATTCATATGAATTGTAGAATCCATCTCATGCAACAACTGAATCTTAGAGAGAGAAGCATGCCCTAATCTAGCATGCCACAGGCTACATTTATTCAATTTTGAAACAAAGCTATTTACAGACTTTGAAATAGTAGGAAAAGTCAGATGATATAGCCCATTCTGAAGTTCAGCTACTCCAATCTTCTTGCCATGGATAGCACCCTGTATGATACACTGATTAGTGTGCAATTTCATGGTGCAATTAGAGTCTTTGATGAGATCTACCCCAGATATTAAGTTGTACTGAAAGCCAGGTACATATAGAACATTATGCAGAATGAAATCATCAGACAAATGTACAGAACCAGTGTAGGTTATGGCAACTTGATGTCCATTAGGCAATCCAACATGCATGTTCTGGACTCTACTTTGATATGTCAATAGATTTAGTCTACAAACAACATGATGAGTGGCACCACTATCTAGTATCCACTCACTATCCCTGAAATCTGTCAGATTAATAGATGGTTTAGTACCTTCAGTTTGGCCTCCTGGCATGAAGTTAGCTGTAAAGGTGTTGGCATGCACTTCATGATTTGATTGATCCAGGGGTGTATTTAAGGATCCTCTATCAAAGGACTTTTGTGTCTGCATATATTCCAAGAATTTCTTGAAGTCATTCTGAGTGAAAGAAACTTCATCACACTGAGTTGAGTGTTGGGGTATTGGGGGTCCCTGAGTATGGTTAACAGACCCTTGAGTTCTTGGTTTAGGCTTCCATCCAGGAGGATACCCATGCTTTTTATAGCATTTATCCTCTGTGTGCCCTGTGAATCCACAAAAGGTACATATGGGCTTCTTGTTACCTCCTGCAAACTTCTTGAAGTTCTACTGTTGGTTACTACCATTCCTGGTCATTAACACACTGCTTGTGGCACCAACTTCTCCTGCTTGATATAAGTGGTTGCCAATTCCACTGGTGTTAATATGAAATTGTCTTTCTTGTTGTGTTATAATCGAATAGGCATCACACACATCCAGCAAGGGCCTCATAAGCATGATCTGATTCCTTGCACCTGTAAATCTATCATGCAATCCAATGAGAAATATAGACAGCTTGTCTTTCTCATCCTGTCCATTCAATTCATCAATCTTCTTCCCACAGCTACACTTGTGGTGCAATCACAGCATATAGAGGGCCTGAGAATTTGGAGTTCATCCCAGAGCAGCTTTTGTTGAGTGAAATACTCATTTAGGGAGCTGTCACCTTGTTTCGTCTAATATATTTCGCATTTGAGCTCTGCAATTCTGAACAGGTCTTGCTGACTGAACCTGCGTTTTAGATCCCTCCATATTCCATACGCAGTGTCGATCCAGAGCACACTGCGTCCAATCGTCGGGGAGAGGGATCGAACAATCCAGGAGACGACTATGTCGTTGCAACGCTCCCACACATCGAACTTCCGATCATCTCTCGATGGTTTAGTAATGGCTCCATTAACAAACTTCAGTTTGTTTTTGCATGATAGAGCCATGGTCATGGCCCTTGCCCAAGGGTGATAGTTAGGGCCTTCCAGTGGCGTAGAAACCAGCATTAGCGCCGGATTCTCGTTAGGGTGAAGGAAATAGGGGTTTGACTGTGATTGGGGATCGAACAGTACCTCCGTTGTTGTATTCTGTTCGATTGCCGGATTAGACGAAGCCGCTGGAGATTGGATTGGAGTTCCAGTCCCTGGAGCTCCTGCCATATTGTCGATTGGAGTTGTTCTTGTTCCAATTGAAGGCCACGCTGTTGTCATTCTTGAAGAAGAGCTTCAAGGCTCTGATACCATGTTGCGCAGCAGAAAAGGAAAGCAGAGAAAGGTGGATTAAAGGGAAACTTGGTGTCTGCTTCATTAACTTGGAATCAAGAATCGATCAATCTCAGGACACAGATGAGTAAGGTTTATATAGAAGATGTCTAACTACTCTAACAGCTTAGCTGTTGTACTTAACTACTGCTAACCAAAATACAAGAAGCTAATCAACAACTAACAAACTAAACAGAAAGAGTAACTGTCATAACTGCCTGACATTTGCTAGTTGATGGATGGAGTATTGCTGCTGAGTTTTGTATCTTCTGAGAAACATTGAGGTATCGTTTTAATTAAATTTCATGTTAATTTGACAATATACTTGTGTATATATGGGCCCTGCTATCCAATTCCATTTTATATAGATTCACTATAACACTAAAACATCATTTTTAATTCTACTACATGTTCATTTATCAATATATATATATATATATATATATATATATATATATATATATATATATATATATAACGTGATACGTTATTGATTCACGGTAAAAATAACTATTTTTTAATTAATTAAAAGAAATGGTGTGGTATTATACATTGTCTACGTAACTCTGTGGATCATGATTTAGCGTATACCAATTTTCACAATCATAAGCCCAAACAAAGTAAAGCCTAATGATTAGGCGATATATATCCTGCACCACAGCGCGCGGTGCATTGTGCGCTCAGATGCAAAACGACGTCGTTTCAGATTTATTTATTTATTTTTTTTTGAAATTTCGCTACCCAGTGTTTGGCGGTTAATTTTCCTTTAAAAAAAATCTCATGTTCAAAAATGTACATAATGTTATACATGAATGTACATAATTGTATAACAAAATATACATACTGTTTTTTAAAAGATAATACACATAATCTAACATAATACATAACAAACATAAACTTTTAACATAATACGCAAAAAATTTCCTGATTCGGATGTACATAATTGTATAAAAAAAATGTACATAATAAAAAATATACATAATTGTATGAACAAATATACATAATCACAGCAACTTCCTACCGCGCCTCCCAAAACGACGTCGTTTTGGGAGGCGCGCGACGCACAGTGCTACGCGCACCGTGGTGTAGGGTATAACGATTGTAATGATTATATCCTGAAGTAGGGCCCACCATATAATTTGCCAATAAAGCTACAATTACAGGAATTAAGCCTAATAATAGAAAAAGACTAGTTTTAAGCATTTAGTAAAGATTAATACTATCGGTACTTAATTGTAATTTATATTCAATTGGTTGTTCATTACTTGACATGTTTTGTTCATCTCTAAGAAGAAATGAACTCCAATGTTTTATTTATTTTTACTTGTTCTTCAATCAATAATATCATGATACCTAACTCAAGTTTTACTTTATAAGTGTTCATACATCATTTTTCTTCAGCAAATTGTTAGTATGCCCTACTTCATTAAGTATGAAGTTAAAAGGAATATTCAGTATTATATAGGTTGGACTTTTGACTTAGACTGTTTTATGCAGTTTACTTGTTAATTAGCTTGTATAATTACTAAGGAATTGTAAAATTGAACGTACACTACTTAGTATCAAAACAGGATTACTCCTGGGAATTGGTAAGCATTAAGGATAACACTTATCCTTATATTTGATCGAATTTCAAGTTTGAAATTGAAGGTTTTATCCAAAGTAGTTGGGAGGTTGAATTACTTCTTTAACTGCCCATTTGTAAGCCTATAAATAGTATATTCATGCATGCATTTGGGACATGGCAAAGGAATACGCCTGAAGAGGAGATGTTAAAAGTGAAAATTATTTTTCCTTATTTCCTAAAGAGGAATGGTTAAGATAAAATTATTGTCCCCATTTCCTAGCCTTTGTCTAGCTTGTTACGTTGGTATTCAAGAGCATCCCCATTTGTTAGGTTTTTAAGTTTTTAACACAAATTTCAAGAGTATCCTCATTTGTGAGGGAAAAAATGAGGCAAAATAAACAACAAAAAAAAAAAAAAAAAAAAAAAAGCATATCCTTACCGCGGCTAGTAGGCGCGTGTAGTGCACATGCGGCCCAGCCGGGCGTATTTGTGCCTTCACGTGAATAAGGCAATGATTTCTTTTCTTTCTTCTTCTTCTTTTTTTTTTTTTTTTTTGGGCATACTCAAGAAGACAAAAACTTTGGTCTTCCTTCAAGAACTTCAATTATTCTCTTGTTGGAGATAATGAACAACAATCGATTTAATATCCCAAAAATAATATTTATATATACACAGACTCGTATATAAAATATTATTGGATATTTATCCGAAATATATATATACACACAAATATATATAAACGGATCCAAAGGTTATATATACATGTATATCTACGAAAAAGATATACCAATATATATTAACCAAAATTGAAACTAATAATCCTCGGATTATAAGTCCAATCCAACTAATATATCAAAAGAGGAAGAACGGATTTTTGCTTAAAAGCATAATCCAAAACAAGAAAGAAGAAGAAGGAAGAGAGAAAAGTACGAGTTAGGCGAGTGCCTTTCTTTCCTTAAAACCTTATTTGCCACCTCCCAAAAGTGCTAGGAGCGTTGTGGCCTAGGCTTCCCAGGATAAAACGTACAACGGTTCGACGTTTGAGCACCCAAACGAACGAACCCGACGAACAAGAGCACGGGCAAAAGCACAGCTTCAAGAATGGAGTAGAAGCAGAAGTATTTTGAGGCTTGGAAAAATATTTTTCTTGTGTGTTGTTGTTACTTTTTCCCTTTTTGAAAAAATCTGCTGCACCCTACCCCTTCTTATATAGGGAGTGAGGAGTGAATAGCCTTTATTATGGCATTTAGGGGCATCCCTCCAACTCTTGTAACATCCACCATTTACATAGGTTTTAATTCAAAAATTAATTCCATAACAGCTGAATTAAATCCCAACAGTCACAAAAGGAGTTTTCGGTTCGTGTATACTGCACAGTTTCGGCCATTTGGCCGAAACTTGAAATCTCCAAGTTTCGGCCAAGTCTAGCCGAAACTTGCAATTTGCAATTTGGCCGAAACTTGAAATCTCCAAGTTTCGGCCAAGTCTAGCCGAAACTTGCAATTGCAATTTGCAATTTGGCCGAAACTTGAAATCTCCAAGTTTCGGCCAAGTCTAGCCGAAACTTGCAATTTGCAATTTTGCCAGGTGGCCGAAACCTTGAAACTAGCAGTTCCGAAACTAAGTAATTTCAATAGTCTTGGCCGAAACTAACAGTAACAACATGATTTTCCGTGGCTTTGTCTGAATTGGAAAATGAGACTTGAGATTTGATTTGCACCCCCCTGCGCACGAGAGAGAACCTCTATGCTATACAATTCAATAAGCTTAAAAAGAGCTCTTGTATAAATAGTGGGGCAAATTCTCTTCCCAAATCAATGTGGGACAAAAGCTCACTTTTTCCCTTTATTTTTCAATTCAAATGGGTCTACTTTGAGAATCAATATCTCATTCACCCATTATCCGTTTTGAGCGTACAATATATCAATCTCTTCGTCTCACTACGAAGAACCCGAATCCACTTTGACCCGACCCAAATCGGAAGTGGACCCCACTGATAATTGTACCACAAAATAGCCACTTAAATATGCCATTTTATGCCATTTTAAGCTATTTTTTCCAACAATCCCCCACATGAATGAAAAATTGATTTTCAGGGTATTTTGAAATCGGAAACAAACTGTGTTCAACGGTCGATCCCTGCATAGGATAGGTAGGGATCACTATACCCTTTGAACCTTCCCTTGTGAAGACATGTTTACTCTACTGGCTGTACGGTAGAACGCGATGTCTTTGAACCGACTGCCGTTTGTGTAAAAGATGACATATCTCACACAGGAACCTCCCAACCATGCTCTGTTCTCATGAGTGTGCCCATTTTGGTCGTGGGTCACCGTCCTGGTTCTGCAAGAGTTTGTGAAGAATTGTGCCCATCAATTCTCCTTTGAAGCGACCCTCACTTCTCTCTCACATAGGTGATTCTTTTCCGAGTATCCCGCATACTCACACATGTCAACCGACATTTGAATCATTAAAGCATCAACATGCTAACCTTGCGCGGGAGTCACTGTTCTAACGAGGAGTGGTAGGGAGTCCGAGACCCCCACAGTGACACGCTCCGTTCCATAATTTAGTTGTCCCATTGAACCTAGGTGTCAGCTAGGTTGGGTGTCCACTATAGAACTTTTAGTCTAAGGGCTTTAGACCCATTCCTCGTTCCAATTTCTCCACAACCATTTGCTTACCCTTGGGTTAGCGAGTTAGCGGCCGCTACGTTATCTTTTGACATCACGTAGTCAATAGAGATAACCCCCGTTGTGAGAAATTGTTTAATGGTATTATATCTACGACTTATAAGTCTAGACTTACCATTCCACATTTAACTCTGTACTTAACCAATTTTGGCTTGACTATCACAATGCACACAAATTGGAGGTACGAGTTCACCACTAGGAACATTCTCGAAATAATGGCTTAGCCATTCGGCCTACTCGCTCGCGACACGAGTGTAAGGCTCTCAGCTTTAATCCCGTCGGATCTTAGCTATCACAAATTCATTTCGAGAATTTCCGTCCAACCGACTGCACTGGCCTACGTAAAGACGTAGCTTTTGATGGACTTAGTGTCCTTTGATATCTGTGCTATACTTTCCAAGTACGGCTAGATATCCCTACGTTGTGTAGTCCAAAGTCACAAGCATACATATGTATCTCATAACTTCCACTATTGCCTTCTAGTGCGTAACACTAGGGTTACTCGTATGTCTACCGAGTTCGTTAACCGCAAAGACAATGTCCGACCTAGTACAACCCATTGGATACAATTAAACTACCAATAATCTGAATGTATTCTCCATGAGAAGTACAATACTCGTGATTATTGGCTAGTTGTA